GACAAGAGCAACGAGGACCTGAGAAATCTCATCAAACAAATCAGAAACTTTTTGACACGTAAGGCATTTTCACTTTTTTTAACTTCCAGGTGTTTCTTCATTTACATATATATACAACAGGGAAATTTTTCCTTGAGATTATTTTATGTTAACAATCTGTATTATACAGACATATTATTAAGGGATACCCAAATAGTAAACAGTAAGTCAAACATTCTGAAGTTAAATTTTGAATTTACATGTCATTACTAAAGTATTTTCACACTGTCCCCCCAACCTCTGTGATCCAATTATTCATAGGTGCTTATGCCATACCATATGGGTTAACTTTTATACTTTAAGTGTTGCTGGCCATGGCCTGAGTTATTAGGAAGGAAGACTGACAGCAAGTTATAGAAGCTGCTAAAGAAACTTAGAAGCAGGAAAGTTGCATGGATCTAGGACCCATGTATCTTTTTCATTCTATTTTGCTATTTTAAGCCAACAGCTTTGGTCTCTTGGTCTCAGGCTACTTTTTCCTGATTATGAAGTGGCTGCAAAAATTCCAAACTTCACATAAAAACTCAGTTCCTTCCCTTTTTCATAGGGAGAAATCACCGAGATGCCTTTAAGCAGTCAATCACATATCAGGCATTAATGTCACTGTCTAGTGAAAGGATTATCACAATTGGCACATTAATCAGGGTCTAACTGTGGTAATGGGGAGATAAATAAAGAGCTAATGGTATTTGCTACAGACTAATTTCTCATTCTTCAAGGGTCTTAGGTGACTGTTCAGCCTCATAGCATGACCAAGGAGTATTCATTGTTTGCAGTTACTTTTTATGGATATGGGTTTTATCTCCCCACTCAATTAGACTGTAAAAGCTTAAACAGGAAGTGGTTACGGAAACATGTTGTGCCTCACTGTACTCGTAACCTAGAAGATAGCCAGTAAGTGGCTCAATTGAATAAACTGTCCGATTTTCATCATTTCACGAGACATCTTTTACTTTTAACAGAAGATAGTGCTGATCTGGACAGTATTGAAGCAGTTGCTAATGAAGTATTGAAAATGGAAATGCCCAGCACCCCAGAGCAGTTGCAGAATCTGACAGAAGATATTCGTGAACGAGTGGAAAGCCTTTCTCAAGTAGAGGTTATTCTACAGCAAAGTGCTGCTGACATTGCCAGAGCTGAGATGCTGTTAGAAGAAGCTAAAAAAGCCAGGTATCAGAAGACATTATATATAGTTAGGGGGGTTAATTTGCATACTTAGCAATTTCTAAGACTGACCTTTATGAGCCATTGGGTCCTTCAACGAAGGCAGTACTTTTCATGTTCATATATTTTATTCATTTACTCAGCAAAAGTGCAGCAGATGTTAAAGTCACAGCGGACATGGTAAAAGAAGCTCTGGAAGAAGCAGAAAAGGCCCAGATTGCAGCAGAGAAGGCAATAAAACAAGCAGATGAGGATATTCAAGGAACACAAAACCTGCTAACTTCAGTAAGATACCATAATCCTATTTGTCAGAACAGTACACTTGATATAAAAATGTCTTTAAAAAGGAACATGAAAGGATTCCTTTAACTTAAATAAATCTGAGCTATTCCCTGAGCTTAGACAGATGCTAAAGGTGTTTTTTTTTTTTTTAAGGAAGACAGTAAAACCAGAGGAAAGACAGTCTTCTGTTCTTTCAAGGAAGAACAGAAACTTGATTATGAAGTTTTGGTTTCAAAGGCCACTTTTAGAAAACTACTGTTGGTGATCAAGTAGCCCAAAAGCAAAGTATGTGGCTGACTAGTGTCTTCAAATTTATGAACAAAATGATGCATTCTTAGGACCAGATATTCAAAATACATGCTATGAAATTTTCATGTTTTAGTACTTCTATAGATCCACTTACCTGTTAAAAATAGAAATTACTACAGTTGCATTAATTTAAATTTACTCTAGAGAGGCCCTCAAACTCTGGTCTATAAGCAAACTTTCTTGTTCCAATCTCTACTTAAAACCTGAAATAACTTTTTTTGTTCTACCATTCAAGGCTGTCCTCCCCTATGTCTATGTTCTCAACAAAATGAAGTTCACTTTTCCCTGTAAAATTCTGACCCTCTATATACATAGACGGTCATTTAGGCTACTTCAGACTTCTAGTAACCCCTTTAAAATACTTCATATGTAACCATGTACCATTTCACAATCATACTAACATTTTAAATAGTCAAAGAAATATTAAACTTAGAGTTATACCCACATTAATATGAAACTCCCTGTCAAATCTCCTTAATTGCATTAAGGCAAAGTTTGAAGTGTCCTTAAAATAGCTTATCAAAACTTTAAGCTGCCTTGGGCATGGTTCTTAAGTTAATGAATTTCAGCCTAGATCAGTAGAAGTTAATGAGTTATAAAGGCATAGCAGACAAAGTTGGGCACTTTAATTACATTGCAGACTTTTTAATTCCACCTAACACTACTGGCTTGCTGAATGATGGGTGTTATACCTTTTAGATCGAGTCTGAAACTGCAGCTTCTGAAGAAACTTTGTTCAATGCCTCTCAGCGTATAAGTGAGCTAGAAAGGAATGTAGAAGAACTTAAGAGGAAGGCTACCCAGAATTCTCGGGAGGCAGAATATATTGAGAAAGTAGCATATGATGTGAAGCAAAGTGCAGACAATGCTAAGAAGGTAAGTAAATGTTTATAATGACCTATAATGACCTACTCTGAAAACAGTAGTCTTTACAGTCACAGATGAAAAATAGTGCATGTTTTTACATCCACTCCCAAGCCATACTTTAGGCCCCCAAAACAAGCTTGTATTCCTGTATTTGTTAAAGTTCTATGAATAGTAATTAGTTGGCTAGTTGCAAAGGCTTTTTTTTCTATCAATATTCTCACTTTTTAACAAAATTACTTTTCCTAAATTTGTGTAGATAAGAAATTACCCTTCCTTTTCCTTCTGATGAAGATCCAAATGATCCTCTTCTAAAACGAGCACACCTACTTTTGAGGAAAATCTGTTAACATACAACTGTACAAATGTCTTAACAGAAAAGTGCATTCAGCATGAGAATGGAATGACTGCTTAATCCTATAAACCTACAACTCCAGAATGTTATGAAAACTTTCATTTTTTTAATTTACCAGTCAGTGAACAGCTTAAACCTGAATATACTTAAGCAGTGGCCTTTAATAGAAAATGTAGGCTGTGCAAGTTAATATTCATGATACTAGTACTGCTCTGGGTCTGACATCACCTCTCTGAATTTGAAACTGCAGTCTCTGGATGATGTACTAGATGGAAAGTACAAGAATGTAGAAAACTTAATTGCAATAAAAACTGAAGAGTCAGCTGATGCCAGAAGGAAAGCTGAGATGCTACAAAATGAAGCAAAAACACTTTTGGCTCAAGCAAACAGCAAGCTACAACTGCTGCAAGGTATATGTGCTTTTCACTTTGGGTCATATTGTTGTAATTATCTTCTGTATTTTGAACACTTCACCGTATAAGTATCTCAATTTTATCTTCCCTAGATTTAGAAAGAAAATATGAGGATAATCAAAGGTATTTAGAAGACAAAGCTGAAGAACTAGTCAGACTGGAAGGAGAAGTCCGTTCACTCCTAAAGGATATAAGCCAGAAAGTTGCCGTTTACAGCACCTGCTTGTAACAAAGGAGGAAAGGCTTATAAAATGGCTGAGGTAACCAAAGTAAAACTGCTACCTTTAAAAAACTGACTTAATACTCTTTAAAATAAAACTTATATTTAATATTTTTATCACATTTTATACCAAATAAAATGCTTTTGTTATATATTCAGTATGCTTACCTTCACTGTTGCTGATATAAATCCTTTTATAAGTCCAATCTGTTCAGTGAAAATGTTTTGTTAAATGTATTGCCTCCATGCAAGCCATAATTTGTTGTACCTATAAATATGCTATTACTCATCTGTTTGATAGGTCAAGTTATCCACCAATCATTCCCCCAAATCATGGGATTCTCAAGGGGAGATTAAAAGGAAGAAGGACACAGTCTCAGATACCTTCATTATTTCAATGACTGCTTAGTTGGTTCAATCTCAAACTCCTTGAGTTAGGGGAAAAAAGCAATTTCTAGAAAGCAGAACGGTAAATTGTACTTTCTAAGTGTTAACCACCTGGAATAGGGTCAAGGGTTGCCAAATGGAAAGTTCACATTAATTTGAGTGTGTTTATGCACATTCCCTTACCAACTGAACAAAGTACACAATGATTCACAACTAAAGATTTTCTCTGATCTGTTTGGCAATTGTATTTCACTTTTTTTAATATATATTCCTAAGGCAAGAAGACTGCGTATACCACTTCACCACCACCCACACTCCAACACAGCTACATTTGAAGCTGGGCCTGAACAACTTATATAAGCAGCTGTAATGTATAAATAAGGCAAACTTACCCTTGGTCCAAGGCAGCTGTCACTTAGCAGAAATCCAAGAGATTTATATTTAACCAAGTTTTTATACTTTTCAGTTAATAATTTTGATAGTTCAACTAATTCAGCACCACCTCTTCACAGGCCAAGAAAATATTAACTTGATAAGAAGTAAAGACATGAAACTTATGTTTTATACCTACAGGATATAGTTCAGGTTTAAGTTAAAGTAGCATTTAACATGAAAGTGGAATTTCAAAACTTAAAAAAATACTGGAGAGCCACAGTGGAAGAAAATGTTTAAATTTATCAATAAATACAGTTTTATAGTTATTTTCCTTCCCAGTCAAGGATACAGATTATGTTATTTCTTGAAAAGCATATGCTAAAACGTTGAAAAAGTTAACATGGGCTTAAAGGAGTAATTAACGAGGGTAATAATATAAACTAGAGGTAGCCATAAAAGAATTAGGGCCATCATCCATTCAGAATAACTGAATATTTAAGACATGTTTACTTTCTAGGTTTTCGTTCTAATTTATACTTCAGACTGTAGAAACTTTAAAAATCTAGACACTTTGGTGATGAAATAAAACAAGTGAGAGACCATCATTTTTATTTACATCAGTTCAGTTTATACATATTTGAATCTTACTCTAATGACTGACATCCAAGTTTAGAATAACTTGATCACCTTGCTTCAAACCGAGTTGTTCACCTATCAAACTCCAGCTTTATCCATGTACATAAATCCAACTTTACATGAGAGAGAAAAACTACTTAACATAAATTTGGTGAAGTTGAACTTTTTATAGATAGCATGAAAATAAGGGTTAATTGTAAATAAGAGATCATTCCATTCTGTCCAAACCTATTAAATACCTTCCAAGTTTCATAATTCAGTCCTAGAAACTCTTGTTGCTGTGAGCATTTTCTATTCAGAAATGACCTCTACAAAAGCTTGCAAGAAATTTCAGAAAGTCTTCTAATTTAAAAGTTGATTGGTTTGCCAAATGATGCGGCCAGATTTGCTTCTCTAAAAGCTTCTGATAAGGTCTGCAAGAGAAGAGAGTTCAAATTAAACCAAGTTATTTGTGGGTCAGAGGAAATTTAGGTAATTTATTCTGTATGCTGTTGTTAGTTACCGGATGTGCGTGACAGACTCTAGCTATGTCCTCACAGGACGCTCCATATTCCAAAGCAAGAGCAGCTTCATTTACCATCTCACCAGCACCCTTTAAAATAATAAACCAAGAACTAATTATGTTTCCACGGCAAAAATCTATATCCTACTAGAGACCATGTTGGATATTAGAGAGCAGGCTGCCTCTGCTCAGGAAAATCAAAAAGAAACGCAGGATCTGAATCCACCTTTAACTACCTCAAAACCTAACTCTGTGCGTCATTCAGTTTGTTCATCTCAAACAGGAAGGGTGGAAGGCATATGTGAATAAAGTTTAGCCCACAGCGGAATGAGAGGCGATCAGAAAGGTAGTGGGGGCCTGAAAAGTGGGAAAGCAAAAAGAACCACTGGAAAGTTTTAAGCAGGCATACATAGGGTCAATGTATGTTTTAAAAGGATAATCAAGGAATATGGGGAGTAAGCGATGGGGAGGGTAGCAGTACTGTTGAACCTGACTAACATGACCTACAACATGTGAACAGCAAGTGGTTTTAAATAAATCACAGACAGTGCTTTCCAAAAATCCATATGGGACTCTGCTTTTACAATACTCACCGGTCCCAGAATATGTGCTCCCAGTACTCTGTCTGTAGATTTCTGCCCGAGAATCTTGACCATGCCATCCGTGTCAGCATTTGTCTTGGCTCTGCTGTTAGCAGCAAATGGGAATTTCCCAACTTTGTACTCAATGCCCTGTGAGAGACAGAAAAGCTCAGTTCATTTGCACTGATGAAATCATATTCCCTTTATTTAGGAAATAAATCCTAAGATGATGGTTCTTCACACAAAGACCAAATCCCTGGTGAGGAATTATTTGGGATACAAGCATAAGCAATTATTGACACACATGAATATATTTCAAACCCAAATATAAAAGTTTTGCAACAGTTCTTCAATACAGGCATAAATGCAATAGTAAAATGACTCAGTACCAGTGTCATTTGCTCGATTAACACACCAGTAAAACCAAAGCACCGTCCATTCAGATTCAAAATTACCTCCTCTTTCAACTGCTCTTCAGATTTGCCAACCCATGCAACTTCAGGGTGTGTGTAAATCACTGAGGGTACACAATTGTAGTCGATGTGTACAGCGCCACCAGCCATTCCTTCAACACAGATAATGCCTTCATCCTCTGCTTTGTGTGCCAACATTGGACCAGCAACCACATCACCAATTGCATAAATACTACCAGAGATCAAAAGTTGAAGTTCTAAAATCAGTTACTCAGAGCAATCATAACAATAATATTAATTTCTAGCTAATATTATCAAAACTAAATATATCTGAATTTAATCTTTGGGTACTGAAAAAAGTCAATTACTTTTTTGTTGTTGCTGTTTCTAGTCTTTTGGGTATGGGTCATTCTCAGAAGTGTGAGGTGATATGTCAATGTGGTTTTGAGTCTGCTATTCTCCCCCAGAGCTAATACTTCGGTAAATGAGACTTTCATTATCCTCAAACAGTTTAAAATTTTATATTACTGAAAATACAGGTAATTGTTCAACTTACTTTGGAATTTTAGTTTGGAATCTGGTATTAACTGGAATTCTACCTCTAGGATCTAGTTCAATTCCAAGTTCTTCTAGTCCCAAATTCTGAGTAAAGGGTCGTCGGCCAATGCAAACCAACAGCACATCACAAGTGATAACTTCAGCTTTATCACCCGAAGCAGCTTCAATACTAGACAGTGAACAGCACAACTGTTAAACACACATCTACATAAGCATACATCTATTAATATTTGATAGGCTTAGAAATTAAAGACTTGACATTGCTCAAGTAATAATGACACCATCTAACAATGTTTATTTTCTTGTAAGGGTCAGGCAATGAGAAAATTATACATAGCCTCTAGAAACCTATCATTAAAACCTCACAAAAACAGGCTGTTAACATGTGCTAAGAACAATCCTCAGGATCAAAAAGATTAAAGTTCAAAATCACCAAATTATGTGATCTTACAACCACACTGAGCTATTTCATAGCATTCCAAGTACAAAATGAACAACCTAATACTACTGATTTCTCCTTATCTGCCTAAAGATATTTTAATTTTACTGTATTTCGGCAGTGTAATTTTTTTCCTATGTATTTATGATGACAGAGGACTTTATAAAAATGAGAACACTGGATTATTTCTGGCATCAACTTAATCCTGGATGTATTGAGATGGTAAGTTACAAAAAAAAAAAAAATCTGCTTATGCTTTTCTCAACACACAGACATACTTACGAAACATCAATTTTTCCATCTGACTTCTTGGTGGCACCAGTAACTTTTGTATTCAATTTAAATTTAAACCCTTGTTTCTGAAGGATGCGTTGAAAGTTTTTAGATATCTCCATATCAATTCCAACTCCACCAACATGACCCAAAAATTCAACTGCTGTCACATCTGCACCAAGTCTTTGCCAAACTGAGCCCTACAAATTTGAAATTTTACAAATAAAAATTTCTATGGTAAATGTTTCCTTCATCTTAAGTTTATTAAGATTTTTTCTTTTGTTAGTATGTTCCTACGAGACATTTTGAGATATAAAATGAACACTGTGGTTAACATGTATAACTTGATATATTCACTCATTCATTCCTACATTTACTGCATACCTACTATATGCTAGGTACCACTAGACATTCATCAGTGAACACAACACTGCCCTTGAGGACTTAAAATTCTGACAGAGGAAACTGACAAAAATATAAATGCAAAGGAATATAAATTACAAGAAAATTAAAGCAGGAATTAGAATCAGGACCACTGAAATGAGAGAAAGTGTAATTTTAAATAGTGTGGTCAGGGGAGGCCTCACTGGAGTGGCATGTGCAGAGACTGTCTAGGAGAGAGCAGCAGCAAAGAGGGTACTGGGAGAAAAGAAGCAAGCATTTAAATACTATAAAAACTTACTTTTTCATTCAAATTATTTAAACTGAACTTTTTTAACAGTAAACTTGTAACAGTATAGAGTGAAATGTGAAAAACCATGAATATTATCACTTGCAAAAATGTATACTGAAACCACCTGGTCATTTTAGAATAAGCCATGAGAATTTAGCCTTCCATTTAGTTAGATCTCTGCATTCATTTTAAGTTTCATGAATTTCTGGAGATCTGACGGAGGCAATACATGACACTAAAAACCCAGCTAACAAGCTTATACAACACAATTTAAATGGGATCATGGACCTAAATGTAAAGCCCAAGATTATAACCATTCTAGAAGTGCTACTAAATCAACTCTTTATATTCACAAGAGAATCTTTTTGTGACACTGCATTAAGGCATAAACTCAGATACAACAAAAAAGCAGAAGCCATTAAAGAGAAACTGAACTGAGATGTCCTCAAAAAATATCAGAAATTGAGAGATGTCAAAAAGATTACATAAGAATTCACAAAATGAAACAAACACAATCAAAAACAGAATATTACCCATTTCATCAATGGAGATAGAGATGGCAAAGAAGTCAGTAAAAGACGCTCAGCATGCAAGCCACTAGAGAAACGCAAATAAACCACAAGACAACAAGAAGCCAATTATAAATGGCTCAAATTAGAAGTCACCACCAACTGGTGAGGAGGTGGCGCAACTGAAACTTGATTGCTAGTGAGACTGTAAGACAGAACAGCCACTCTGAAAGACTGCCTCGAAAGCTCAACGTGGAATTTACCATTTGACCTAACTATTAAACCATAGGTAAATATCCAGAGAAATGAAAATGGATGTCCACACAAAAATTTGCACACAAATATTCACAGCATTATGTATAATAGTACCAAAGTAAAAACAATCCAAGTGTTCATCCACTGATGGATGGCTAAACAAAATGTGCTATATCCAGAGAATGAAATATTTGCCCACAAAAAGAAATTAAATAGTTAAACTCAAGAAATAATGCACAGAGCTTCAGGAAATTAAGCACCCTTGAGCACATTATACTTAATGAAAGAAGACACGAATGCCACATATTTCCATAAAATGTACAGAATAAGCAAATCCTATTAAATTCAGGGAGATTAGTGGTTTCCCAGAATCAGGCGAAAGGACAATGTGAAGTGACTGCTGTGGTTATGGGATCTATTTTGGGGGTAACAAAAATTTTCTAGAATTAGTGATGACAGCTGCAAACACAACTCTGTGATTGTACTAAAAATCACTGAATTTTAAACTTTAAATGAGTGAACTACATGTTAATTACATCTCAAAAACTTGAAAAAACCTGGAGTTTTCAGAAATAGAAATAATATGGATATAAGCAGCGTTATCAGTCTATAATTCAAACTAGGAACAGAACACAGTGCCCCTGCTTTGAGAAAATTGGTTTCAAAATCCTTAAAGATTAGCCTTCAATATCAGCTCTTATTAAATTTATTAAATGTCAGACACTATGTCATGTGTTTTAGATATACTACAGTAATAAATTCCAAAAATAATCCTTTAAGGCTGCTTTTCATAACCCCATGTTTATAATCAGTTAATTTTGAGGTTCAAAAATTGACGTTTCGTAAGTATGGAATTAGTATGACAGCTGCAAACACAACTCGGTGATTGTACTAAAAGTCACTGAATTTTAAACTTTAAATGAGTGAACTACATGTTAATTATGTTCTTTAGTCACCACATTAAGTTGCAACGAAAGAAGGTAAACTACAAAAGTAGGGGACCTTCCTTGTGGTGCAGCAAGTTAAAGCACAGCACTGCAAGCTGGCCGCAGCCACTTCATCCACTGTAGTCCAAATTCGATCCCCAGCCCTGGTAGTGATCCATGCGGCGCAGCAGACCTCTCCTGTCTCGCCTGCTCTGCCCTCAGCAGTGTACTTGATCAATCTGTCTGTTTTGCTCCCCACTGTGTCTTTGGTGAATCCTCTCACTGCCCCTGCACCTCTAGCCTGTACCCCAGTTCTGTATGCATAAATAAATCTTTAAAATTTTTTTTAATAAACTACAAAAACAAAGTCATGAGCAGTCTTTCTAAAATATGTATGACTGCACAGTAGGTTCTCTAATAAGTTTATATTTTTAAAAGCACACGTAAAACCTAAATACAATAATAACTTAAACATTGTTTTAACTGCCTGGAATTACCCAAGCCTTATTAAAAAAAAAATAGGGCAAAGTAAAGGTTTTCCTGTTTTCTTGTGTTCTTGTGTGCTCTATCTATGAGAACAATTTTCATCACAGAGTAAACATCACGAAGCAAGAAGTGAACCTAATGAACCTATTGATGAGTTTACCCGAACAAATGAGATCACAGAATTTGATAACAATGACACACACTGTCCATGTACCTTGGAACTTAATTAGCCTAAGAGAACAGCCAAAGTGACAGACAGCAAATAAGGCTTAAACATATAAAAACGGGATAGATTCTGAAATGTGGAAGAGATATCAATCCCTGCTAAATTTTCTATGAGATTCTTTAAAAAGCCATTTGACAGTCAGTAAACACAAGTTTTCCAAAGAACTTGGATTTTATTTTCTGAACTGACAAATATATAATTTATTATTAATATGGTGTGAAAAAAATTTTCTCCCATAATGTCCTTGCAGATAAGATGGATAAACAGGAATGGACAGAGGGTGATTCAAAGATGCTATTAACAGGCTCAATACTGTCATGTGCTGGCTTTCAATACTTTATACAGAACAAAGTAAATGATACCTGAGAAAGCTTAACCAATTTTAGATGAGATCATATGATGAGATCAAAGTGCCTTCATTAACATATTTCCCAAGGTAGTCTGAGGTATACAAAGCAAGAAAAACCAGTAAGTATAAGAATGAAGAATCAAGATTAAGAAAAAGATTAGAATAATGGGTGCAAATAAGTAAGATTAAACAAGGATTAAGGTTCAAAACCCTTTGTGTAGATTTTAAAATCATAATTCCTCAAGCAAAAGATATGAGGTTTTCAAGTGACCACAAGCTCAATGTTTACTTTTTCAAGAGGGGGAGAACAACCTTAATTTTAATCACAAGAGATTAAAAAATATTTCATGCTTATCAAAAGAGGTACTCCCCTAAACCCACATGATGTTTAAGTCTGAACATTTACACAAGTGTTCCTGACAGAATGGACAGAATCAAGTCTGATGATAAAATGGATCTAGCTGGGGATAAGATCTAAATACAGATAAAACTATGTAGATTCACATATGAATAAAACACCACCTCTGCCTTCAAGGAGCTTATAGTCTTATAGTAAAGAAAGACATAAGTAGATGCAAAATCTTGCTATTAATAGGTGCTACAAAACAGTCGACACATTATACTAAAAACTCTTAAGTCTTCACCAAAAATGCAACTTCTAAGCTGACGTTTCAAGCTGACTTTTGAAAGGTATTTATTATATCAACAAATATTTATTGAGTAGTATAGCAGTAGTGGTAACAAGTGAAGAGGTGAGAAAACACCTATCAGCCATAGTGTTAGATGCTGATGACAGTAAATGCAACAGCCATGATTTCTGCCCTCAAGGAGTTTGACTTAATGAGACAAGTGAACAAGTAGTATCAAGAAAGCACCACAAATACTTAACAATAACAAGACATACAAGGTAAAATGAAACACCTTTTTTAAAAAAATTTTCATCAGTTCTAAGGAACAGGAAGGGTAGACACAAGGAAGCAGATTTTAAAATAAAACAACATTCTGACTAAAGATTACATAAGTGTTCTTACTGTAAATGTTTAAGTTCCTTCCAATTCCAAGGAGATAACAGAAAGAAAGCAACCATCACTTACCAATTCTACACCTATTACTCCTGCACCAATGACAACCATCTTTTCTGGAACTTTTTTCAAAGATAAAGCTCCTGTAGAAGACACGATTGTATCTTCATCAATCTGTAATAAAAATCCAAAAAGTATTTGGGAAAACCGTTATAAACTGATCTCATTCAGCATAATCATTAAAAACAGTATGACTTCTACCTACACATTCAATTTCACGAAATCCCATGAAAAATGTTCACTTAAAATTTTATCAATCACGGGGATTACAATGGAGATGAAAAAAAATGTACAAAACGATGTAAAAATAAACTATTATAATAAAATTTAAAAATTTTATCAATCACCATTTCAAGAGAAAATGGTCAATTTTAACTTTATATTGAATTCGAATAGAACTTAATATGTTATCTTTCTAGTAAAAACAAATTTTAAAAATCATTGTAGAATAAACACAGGCAACTTCCCAAAGCTCAGTGACTGAATGTTTCAATGAGAAATCTGTTCTAAGTAGCATAGTTTCTAAAATGTACTTCCAAAGGAAAGCTTTGACAATTGTAAAAAGAGTCAATACCGTGATTCCAGGAAATGGAGTAACTTCTGAACCTGTAGCTATAAGAATATTCTTTGTATCAATAACTTGAGTGCTGCCATCAGCTTTCGTAGCGGTGACTTGATTTTTGCCAGTTATCTTCCCAAATCCATTTACGTGAACAACCTTTATAAAATGTTCACAAAGTCACAAAGTTTAAAATATTTTTGGATAAACACCTATTTAATAAGGAAAAAAATACTCAACAATATATACAATATTATAATGCTACAGGAGGAGCAGCAAGTATTTCGTTACATACATGTTAGCAAAATCTATCTTAAATTAGCATCCTGTTTTAGATTAAATAAGTATCTCCAATCAGTCAAGTTCTAATAACAAAACTCATTCAGTATGAGGCAATGTTTAATGTGTTTATAAAATAAAGCAAAATTCTGAAGTAACTAACCTTATTCTGTTTGAATAAGTGAGCAATTCCACCCGTTAAAGCTTTCACTGCGGTACTCTTCTGTTCCATCATTTTCTCTAAGTTCAAGTGAACTCCGGACACTAAGTTGGTAAATAAATCTTTAGTCATTAGCTAAATCTGTTCAGTATTTGTATATTATTTCACTAATCTAACCTGGAAATTGTGAGCTTAATACTTACAAAACTGTATAAAAGGCTATTAAGATTTTTAAACTTCTAACTGATACAAAGCAAAAAAGGCCAAAACCGCTATATCATACAAAATGAACCTATCAAGTACTATAAAAAGACCACTTTAGGAAAAATGCAGCACAAGATATTGTATCCCAATTTAATAACATTTGCCAAACACCTTATGACTACATGCCTGGAAGAGATTTAAGTAAAAGCAGTGAAGTAAAACAGCACCTGAAATGTTTAATAAATGGAGGCACTAAATGCTATAAGCAAAAGCTGATAAAAATATATACCTGAAAATTTCAAGTACAGAAGCACAATGTAAGACTCAAAATATACAATATAAAGTACTTCCTTACTAAGGACATTGCATAGCATTTTAATTTGGTTTCTTCTGTCTCTTGACTTTCTTTTTGAGCTGTTTTTATTTCATCCTTTCTCTAATTGTTGCTGACCCATCCAGGAGGGTATAAGTAGGAAGGGCTGGCTGTTAGTTTTCCTTTATTGTGGAAGGGTTCTAAGAGCAGGCTGTGGGGTAGGCGACCATGGGTAAAAGTGATAAACACTCACGTAGTTATAATTACTAATCTACATCTAATTCTAAAAAATAGATTTTAATCACTCATTTAACTCAGAAGAGAATCTACAGGCACAATAAAAATATCACCTTAGTGATCAGCTCAAGTGACCAATACTTATCTTACAGATAAAGAAACAGGCCCCGAGACATTTTGATTTACTTAAAAATCAGTCTTATCTACAATGAAGGAGACCTAACTAGCCCTCCATTTTCTTTCCTTACTACGAAAAGTAGACTTTCATCTAGTTCAATACAACTAATTGAGTGTTATCACCTTTACCCACAGTCGCCTACCCCAAAGCCTGCTCTTAGAACCCCATCTACCACAATAAAGGAAAACTAACAGCCAGCCCCTCCTACTAATACTTCTGGGTCATTAACAATAATTAAGAGAAAGGATGAAATAAAAACAGCCCAAAAAGAAAGGCAACAGACAGAAGAAGCCAAATTAAAGTGTTATATAATGTCCTTTTCTCCTATGTCAAATTCCTTCCTGTCTACTTGACAATTTCTACAATCAGCTTACACAGACCTTCCTACCTTTCTCATCATTCACCCATAGCACTCAGGAATCCAGCCTCCCACCCTCAAGTGATCTTGAAGTTTTGGGGAAACGAAAGTGACTCCTCTCTTCCTCTCGCACACACTCACATATGTGCACACACTCACACACACTGAGTAGACATCAGGCAAAACTGGCAAAGTAAGAACAGTGAAGTGTGACTGGTAGTATCACTAAATAAGAAAAGTATACTTACTTTCAATTCCCCTAGATGCAAAATCTTTTCCATGTGCCATATGGTAATAATGAGAATTATTTAACAAAGCCTAAAGGAAATAAAAAGAAATTATCAAATGTTCATAAACATACTACAGACAACCATAAAGCACTTATAAAATTACATTATCTACATGGAGTAGTATATAGGAGAAGTATTTAGGACTATAGTTTGTTTTTATGTAATTAACCTAAGACAGACAATGGTAACATAAAAATCATTCAACAAGTAAGAATGAAAAACAAAACATCTTTCTTTAAAAGAAAGAGAGTACACACCTAAGGGTGGCAGGTGAAAAAGGCAATCATGTTTACATATATAAAGGACCCAAAAGAAAAATTTACTACCAATCATTTTTTCACTGTGAAAAGAAGTTAAAGAGGGAGCCTCCCTGGTGGCACAAAGGGTTACAGCCAGCACCATAAAGCTATCACAACCACTACAGCACTGAATTCCATCCCCCACCAGGGAGCTGACCCACATGGTGCAGACCTCTCCTATCTCACCTGCTGCTCCCCTCAGCAGTGTATTTCAGTCAATCTGCCAGTTTGTTCCCCACTCTGTCTCTGGTGAATCCTCTCACCCCCCACACCTCTAGGCCTACACACCAGTTCTTGTATACATAAATAATTTTTTTTTTTTTAAAGAAAGCTCAGGGCCCTCCCTGGTGACCAATGAGTTAGGATGCAGTACTGCAAGCTGGCTGCAGCAGCTTTAGTGCAAGTTTGAACCTCAGCCCCAGAGGTGACCCACATGGTATGGCAGACCTCTCCTGACCCGCCTGCTGCTCCCTTCAGCAGTGTTCTTTGTCGATCTGCATGTTCTGCTCCCTACTCTGTCTCTGGTAAAGCCTCTCAGCACCCCTGCACTTCTGGCTTATACCCCAATTCTTTATGAATAAATAAATCTTTAAAAAAAAGAAAGCTGAAGAGGAAAAATGGATCATCCAAGTCTATTTGAATGGAAGGGTACATATTCTCAACCAAGTAAATCAATGTGTGTTTTTTATTTTTATCACCCATGGGTTATTTTTGGATAACTATTGGTCTAATATCTTAACCTCAATACATTCTTCTTGGCAGCTAATGAAATTATCTCTGCCCATGCAGAAAAAATGCTCACCTTAGAAGGAATACAACCAACATTCAAGCATGTTCCACCAAGTGTTTCATTTTTCTCAACGCAGACTGTCTATAACCAAAGAAAACATCATTTAACTGAATAGAACATGCAATATTTCATTCCATTAAAATTCCAAATTAAGGCATTTCTTCTATAAAGAAATTTTTCAGGATGTGTTTATAAAAATGTAGTCTTTTATAACTTATCAGTTGAAAACTCAACCTAACCCACCAAAAAGTGCATTCTAAAAGAATTTCTGGGGGAGGGGGTTACATTACCAATTTCTATTACTTATCTTCAGTGTGGTTTAGAAATAAAACAAACTACATTGAAAGGAGGGGATATGTAAAGAACTTCACTTTCTGTTTCATAAGATTACCACAGCTGGGCCCTCCCTGGTGGCGCAGCGGGTTGAAGCACAGCACTAAGAAGCTAAAGCCACTTCAGCATGAGTTGGATCCCCTGCCTGGAGGAGATCCACATGGCGTGGCAGACTTGTGACACGCCTGCTGCTCCCCTCAGCAGTGTACTTCATCGATCTGCCTGTTCTGTTCCCCACTATGTCTCCAGTGAGTTCTCTCACAGCCCCAGCACCTCTGGCCTATACCCCAGTTCTGTTAAGAATAAATAAATTAAAAAAAAAAATCAACACAGCTGAATGAACCCTTTCTTCACCTCAGGCTTAAATGCAATTTGTAGAATTAAGAAATGTACATTATTTACCTACAAAGCATTCTGTGAATGATTAACCCTTCCCAAATAAAAATGAATCAAAACCTAGTTTGAATCTAAACCTTACCTTGAAGCCTAACTGGGCAGCTTTAATAGCAGCAACATATCCTCCAGGACCAGAACCTATCACTGTTACATCAGCATCAACTATAATAAAAGCAAATTGATATAAAACAGTGCATGCTTATTATTGACTAAAAACAGTACATTATAAAACTTACAAAATACCTAATGTTTTAACCCCCCAAGAAAATGCACAGAACTAGCCTTTCATGCACATTATTTAATTCTTTGCTCTAACTGAAAATGGCACAGATTTTTAAATTTTTTAATTTTATTTTCTATGTGTTCATTTGGTATATGGAAATACACTTTGGCTCTACAACACACTGACCTTGCTAATAAGTCTAATTTTTCTTTATTCCCAATTTTTTTAACCCCATTTCAAATAAAATAGACTTTCATTTTAAAAGTTAGAAGACAGTTCCCATCTCCTCCCCTCCTACCTTTTCACATATATAAAATATACCATGTAGATACACATAACAGTAAAATCTAGAACACAGTAATCTGTGAAAACATAGTTTTCCCAATGTCCTTACAAACAAACCAATTGTTCTAGCATTTAGCAGTATAACAGTGACATATTGTTTCTTTCATGTTTCATTCTCAAAACTTGCATGTGGAGGTAAGAATGTTGTGTACCTGACATTTCATATACAAAACACAAGGTTCAGAGAGGTTAATTAACTTTCCCAAGGTAATCCTGCAAGCAAGCAGGAGAGACAAAATAAAGCTTTCTGTCTCTAGTTCTGGTTGTCTTTTTCCATTACTCCATGATTCTATTCCTTAATTTCAACTATCATAAAATAAAATGACTAAGAGCAATAATCAAGCTTTATGATTACTAGTTATCTGACTGTAATTGAACAACTTAACCTAATTCACCTTCACTTTCTTCAACTATACAGAGACCCATAAAAGTCTATATAAAGCTGTACTACAAAATAATGTATGTAAACAGCTTAGTATAGTATCTGATTCACACATAATAAGTATTGGCTTACTTACTTGGCCATTTTTATTATCTCTCCCCCCCCTCCAAAAAAACACTTAGGGAAAAGTGGTAATTTCATTTAAAAAAACTTTCTTTGCTGGTCTGAGTAGAATCACAGAACCTCTGCATTAGAAAATAACAAAGAAATTATCCAAGTTAATTATCTACAAAGCTTTAGGATTCATCCTATTGAATAAATGACACAACTGATTCTCCTTGGTTATATCAGATGACACACAAGGCCACTTGGTATGTGGAAAAAAGAAAAAAATTTTTTTTTTGCATTTGTGCCTTTTGACCATACTGCCTATTTCATTAGTCATATTCACAATTAATAATAAAATGTACTTCTATTTTCAAATGATACACAACATCCCTTAATTTGGTTCTAATTTTAATTTGTCTATATATACATATTTAAATATAAAGTACACATATGGAACACACACAGTAAAATCTAAGACAGTAATTTGTAAAAACCTATTTTTCCCACTTCATTTAAATCTTTCAATAAACATGTGTTTAATAATAAAAGATGTTAAAATATCAACAAAGAAACTTTACAATTGTTTAGCATTTTCTAATTTAAAAAAAAACAGTCTACTGAGGGCCCTCCCTGGTGGTGCAGTGGGTTAAGCACAGCACTAAGAAGCTTAAGCCACTTCCGCATGAGTTCGATGCATGAGTTCGATTTCCGCCTGCCCCAAGGTGACCACATGGCTTGGCAGACCTCTCCTGACCAGCCTGCTGCTCCCCTCAGCAGTCTACTTCGTTGATCTGCCTGTTTTTGCTCCCCGCTCTGTCTCTGGTGAATACTCTCACTGTCCCTGCACCTCTGGACTGTATGTATCCCAGTTCTGTATGCACAAATAAATAAATCTTAAAAAAAAAAAAAAAGTCTACTGAAAGAATTTAAAGAGAAAACTTGGGTTTTATTTTCCAAATACTATATAATCTGAGATGTTTTTAACTAGAGAAAAATAACACAAACTCAAAATGAATCACATCTCACCAAAGATATCAGGTGTACCACCCCATCAGAATACTGCTGAAGTGTTAGGAAGCACAAAAATGAAATAGCCTATCTACATGCAAATGAAGAGGAAGAAATTAAGAAAGCAATCTCATTTACAACTATTCCCCAGAAATGAGATAACTAGGAATAAACCTAACAAAGGTGAGGTGAAAGATTTATAAAAGGAAAATAAAATACTGTTAAAAGAAACAGAAGATTTGTCAGCTAAAAATATGGGAGGCTGTTATCCAGTGACAAACCTTCAAAAGCAAGCAGTATTTAGAGGATCTGTGCGATTTACTTTGAAATACACAAAAAAGATGAATTAACAAATAAATGGACAGACAGTTACATGTAAGGCAAAATAAAATGTTTGTGGAGAAATCTATGGGTATTCACTGAAGAATTATTAGCCTTTTTCTAAATGTGTACAATTTTTTAAGAACAAAATAATGGACTAATACCAAAACCAAATGAAGGCAACAAATAAAGAAAACTACAGGCCTATCTCCCTCATGAACATGGATGCTAAAATCTTAGCAAACAGAATCCAACAACAAATCAAAAGGATTATAAACCATGAACAAGTGGGGAATTATTCCAAAGATGTCAGGATGGTTCAATGTTAATTAGTGAATGAAACTCACCACATCATCAACAAAAAATTATATGCTCACATCAATAAATGCCAAGACGAACTGTTATAAAATAAAATAAAAAAATGTTTAAATGCCAAGACAGTTTATTTGATAAAGCTTAACATCCAATTATGATGAAGGCCCTTGACAATCCTGGGATATAAAAGGAACATATCTCAACATAATATAAGCCGTATATGACAAAACCACAGCTAACATCATTCCTAATGGTAAAAAACTGTAAGACTTCCCCACCCCCTCCCCCCATTTAAGATCTGGAAAAAACAAGGATGTCCACTCTCATCACTGCTTTGTAATATAATGCTGGAAGTTCTAGCTAGAGCAATTATGCAAGAGATAGATAAAAGGAATCCAAACTGGGACAGAAAAAATTAAAACTACCATTATTTGTAGGTGGTATGGTATTATAGAGAGAACCTTTAAAAATCCACAAAAAAACTAATTAAAGCAATAAACCAGTTCAATAGCTACAAAATCAACACAAAAACCAGTAGCCTTCCTACAGGCAGCCAGTGAATCTGAAGGTGAATTTAAAAGACCATCCCACTTACAGCTGTCTCCCCCAAAATTAAATAACTAGGACTAAATGTAACAAAAAAATAAAAGACTTAAACAAGGAAAATAAAACACTGTTAAAGAAATAAAGAAATTGAAAGGCATTCCCTTCTAATGGATCAGAATCAATTATTAAAATGACCATCCTACCAAAAGCAATTTACAGATTCAATGCAATTTCAATAAAATCTCAATGGCCTTCTTCAAAGAAACAGAGCAAATATTGCTGAAATGCCTATGGAATTAAAAAAGCCAAATAGCCAAAGCTCTTCTTTTTATGCATTTATGCATACAGAACTGGGGTATAGGCCAGATGTGCAGGGGCAGTGAGAGGATTGACCAGAGACAAGAGTGGGGAGCAGAATAGGCAGATCAATGAAATACACTGCTGAGGGGAGCAGTGGGCGAGACAGGAGAGGTCTGCTGCACTGTTCCAGGGCTGGGGAGAGAACTCAAACTGAAGCAGTTGTGGCTAATTTGTAGCGCTGCACTTTAACTGGCTGTGCTACCAGGGAGGGCCTAGCCAAAGCTCTCTGACTAAAAAAAGGAGAATAGAGAAATATTCCACACCAGGACTTCAAACTACATTATAAAGCCATAATAATAAAAACAGCATATAGTGGACCAAAACAGGCACACAGACCTATGGAATCAAACTGAATGCCCAGAAATATAACCATACAGACACGTCAACTAATCTATAATAATGGAGCAAAGAATTTATGCTGGAATAAAGAAAGCCACTCAATACATGGTGCAGGGAAAATTGGACTGTCTCATATAAAAGACTGAAATTATACTACCTCACATCATACATATAAATCAACTCAAAATAGATAAAAGACTTGGATGTAAGACCTGACACAATAAAATAGATAAAAGAAAACAGGTAAAGCACTCATGACATAAATAAATGACATCTATAAATTTCAGAAGTATCTCTGAGGCCTCATCTCCAGGAGAAAAAGAAAACAAGTGAGAATATAAACAGCTCGGACTACATCAACTAAACTGTACAGCAAAACACAGGAACCAAAAAGGAAGAGACACTATTGAATAGGAAACAATATCTGCACACTTAACATCTGATAAGGAACTAATAAAGATCTACAAAGAGCTTATACAATTCAACAAAAGTAAACTACCCAATCAAACGAACAACAACAAAAAAAGGCATAAGAGCCCCCTTGTTAGTAACACAAATCAAAACCATTCTTTATTTTTTTTTAAATGGACAAAAGAGCTAAAAAAAAAAAAAACTTATCCAAAGAAATGCATGGACAAACAGGTTATGTGAAAAAAATGTTCCAAAATCACTTATTATGCAGGAAATGCAAGTCAAATCCACAATGAGCTGCCTCACACCTGTGAGAATGGCCTTTCTAATAAAAAACAGAAACAACAAATGCTGGCAAGAATGTGGAGAATAAAGGAACCCTCTTACACTGCTGGTGTAAATTTGTAAACTGGTCCAACTATTATGGAAAGTTGTGTGGCGGTTCCTCAAAATACTAAAAATTGACCTACTATATAACCCAGTGATTCTATTGCTGGAAGTTACCCAAAGGACACAATAACACTAATATGACTTTGTAGCAAAGTCCATGCGTTAAAAAAAAAAAACAAAAACAGAATGTGGTTTTGATTTGTTACTAACAAGAGGGCTCTTCAGCCTATTTACAACAAACACTTCTATGTTTACTGCAGCACTGTCTCCAATAGCAAAGATGGAAATAAACTATATGGTCCCAAAAATGCTCATACACACACAAGAAATACTACTCAGTGATCAAAAAAGATAAACTCAAGCCATTTGCAGCTTGTATGCTGTATGAATGGAGCATTATAAGTGAAATTAAGTCAGAAGGAAAAAGATAAATATATAGCTTCACTTACATGCAGAATACAGAGGAACAGAACAAAGGGTCAGGAAAAAGATAAAACTTGCAAAGTGACCATAGATCTGAGGAATATAGTGGAAGAGGAAGAGGGAGCAGAGGAGAAGGGAGAAGAGTCAAAAAAGGGGAAGGCAGAAGGGACTGGTGAGGTAAGATACTGGGTGCTATGTGGTGGAGACAACTACAGGGACAAGACCTGAGGGGAGAAATCAAATACTGTCCAAAAATCAACAATGACATAAGGAATTTAAAAAATAATGAAAAAACAAATCTGCCAGCTCTCACCTTGACCGAGCCTTTGTGCAAGTAAGTAAAAAGATTATATCACCAGATACTTCCTCATCATCTCCTTATCAAGAAGCATTTCCCAGTTTGGTTCTCAAATAAAGTATACAAAATCAGATTAACTGGCAAGTGAAATTGCTATGCTTTAATGCCATCAGCCTCTGTGACTATCACCTGTGGCCCTAAATGCAGAAGATGCTTGGGAGCACTGGTGCAGGGCACACATGCCTGGCTGCAGACACATTGAGCTTGGTGTGGGCATGCATGGGTCTGCACACCTGAGCCTGGAGGCTGAGGATATAAAAACAGCTATAGTAGGGCGGCTATGAGAGGAAGAGCCCACAAGACAACGCCAGAAAACACCCAGAGGAAGATAGATTCGCTGAGGACTGGGAGGCCTGCCAGCTTGTGGGCTTGTCCCACAACGGGCATAGAAAGAACATTAAAGCCAGAAAAAGCCACTGAGGGCTCCAAGACTCCTTTAACAGTCTACCCAAATCAATAGAGAACCTGCCCTATGCTTGTTGGACCAACATCAGGAATAAAGTAGTTAAATGAAACAAATAAGGAGTATCTGATGGAAAATTTTACACAATTAGCATCGGCCATTAGGAATGAAAAAGAAAATTGAAAAGGATAATAGCATAAGAGGAAGATGACATAGCAAAAATGGCTAAAGATAGATGGATCACAACCTGCATTTCAAGTGACTGTAAAATATCAGGTGAAAGCTATCAGGTTGATACTGTAAAAATACCAAAGAACAAAGAAAGGTGACTGACTTAAACATAATAGTTAATGCCATTAAATGAACAGAAAAGAAAAAAAACAGAAAACAATGCTCTACAAATGTTACTTATTATATCATCAAAAGGAAAACATAGACAGCGCTGTTATCAAGGTTACCAGTGAATTACATACGGCAGGTTACAAATCAATTATAATTATCATTAAGTAACAAAACATATCTTAAAAAGACAATATGCAGTAATACTTTGCATTTTGATAATTCACTATGTTCCCGGTTAAATAGTTTATATGTTTGTTGTCTTATTCAAATCTCATTACATTTCTAAAGACATTGATATTCCCTCCATTTGTCACAGTAAGAAAGTAAGATTGAGACTAACTTGTAAGTAATTGTACACCAGTTAAAAGAATATATTCACAAATCAAAACAGGTTAAGATTCTGAAACCTCTGTTCTTACATAATTATGTTTATTCCTTCCCAAACATTAAGATTACCCATAATCTCCAAGGTAATAAAGAACTCAAACTAAAATGATAAGAAAACTGCTACAAATTAGAGTAAAATCAACAATTATTTACAAATACCTACTCTATGAGATGATTCACATCTTCAATAACCTTATAGCTACAGGGCCATTTAGGTACACACCAAATGTAGATAAATCTGAATTATTTTTAAAAAGGAATACAAAAGAGACATCATAGGTCAGTAATCACAAATTATTAAATTCTCTAAATGAGTATAAGAGCTCCTTGTAAGATCTGTTGTATTACCAGGGGGTAAAGGGCTGTTTTTAAATTATCAATGGTCTTAATTCCAGTTTATCTCAATAACCTTCTTCCATAGTCACACCCTATACTTATCACTCAAAGCTGGTCAGCCTATGAGGCAGTGAACTCTAATACTTTACATCCCAACCTCATAATTTCCTACATTATAGGAAAGGAGAAACAAAGTAAAGGTTTAAAGTAAAACAAACCCAAGGTTCAAGTATGAGTTGTCCAAATTCCTAAATTTTTGGCAAATTTACTTAATCTCTCTGGACTTTGATGTAAAAAATGCCCTCCCATCATCACTCCCTCATTGTGTATACCACATCATTCCATAGGTTAAGAACTGTGGCCATTTCCAATCAGATATACATTTCATAGCTTCCTAGACTTAGCCTGTGGAGCCTGCCTTTATCACAATTATAATTATCTGTTGGATGTTTGTCTTCACCAAATGGACTGTACAGTCCATATAAGCTGCACCTTGTCTGTCTGATCACTGCTGATTCCAACAAACTAGCCCAGTAACTGCCATTTACTAGATAGTCTGTATCTCTGAAATTATGAGTGTATAAACATGAAAAGAATGAGTAAATGGACAAATGTGGGAGATGAGTGGTTATGTGCTTTAAATCTGTTCTCATGAACTGGAATAGCATAGTAATAACACAGTACTTTTGAAATCTTGAACTTTGTTCATAATGATATTCAAACATCTCTCAGATGTCGTAACAAGAAGTATATCATAACTCTGTAAGTTGGTCAACCAATGCTCACCTAAGAACACAGACCAAATTAAACATTATGAGTAAGCTCTAAAGAGAATTTTCTAAGGTTTGTCATTACTGGAAAACTTTTCCAGGGCTTAGCTCCTAGATTTAAAAAATGGGAAAATAACAGCACATATCTTGTAGGATGGCCACAAAGGCTAATGACCAAGGACCTGAGGCAGAGCAAGACTGCGTTGTATCAGTTCTTGCAGCTGTTGCTACTTACTTTGTATAGGGCAACATGCTGAATGTTTGTGATAAGAGTACTAACTCAGACAGGATACCAAAGTAATTTACTAATAATGTATACAGTATTTAATACTCAATTTTACTATTAATTTGTGATAGTAATTTGTAACATCTAGCTCCTCTTCCAAGTAACAAAATCACACCACAGGTTCAAGCACTTTCAAATCACCCCCTAAAACAGTCCTGCAAGCTCAGCTGCCTCAAGTGCCAAGCGCTTTATTTTATATTACTAATTATTAGTAATAATGTTTATTAATAATATGTACAAAGTATCTACTGTACCATTTTGGCCACTACACAGTCACAGTCCTAACTCTAATGAGATATGCATTCTTTGAAGATAAGCATTAAGTACATAACCTCAGGTACTAAGAGGTTTACCGTTTAGAGATCACTAATCTGCTTGACTCGTGAGCACTCAGCTAGTCTTGTTCCATTAAATTTAAGTTCTTACTCAGGAACTAGCTGACAAACAGAAAGTACTAAAAAAAATCTTTCTTGAATGATTCCAAAGGTGCAGATTTAGCTTTGAAGTTTTTACTTTACATGCACTTTTCCTGTTGTTGTGAGTGCAGAAGAATTATAATGCTCCCACTCAACAAAAGAGAGGCAAAGGATTTAATATTATTTATCACCTCAACAACACTTAGACACAAAATATAATGGGTCCAACTCCCTCCCCTGCCAAAATCAAACAGTATTTTTTGAAAGATTTCTTGAGCTTTTCAAAGCTAGGATAAACCACTCACTTGCTGCTGACCAATCGAGACCAGAGTCCTACTCTTTCTTCTAGGACTCAAATATTCAAAATGTTATAGCTTGATAACAGTTAAGAACACAGGATAAAATTTCAGAGCACAGGGGGAATGAGAATTTCAGTTACCCCCCAGAAAATGGTTTTGATAGGCTTTACGACATTAAAAGCAACATTAGGCCCTCCCTGGTGGCACAACAGATTAGGACACAGCACTGCAAGCCAGCCGAAGCTGCCTCAGTGTGAGTTCGATCCCCACCCCGGAGGTGACCCACATGGTGCGGCAGACCTCTCCTGACCCGCCCGCTGCTCCCCTTAGCAGCGTACTTGGTCCATCTGCCTGTTCTGCTCTCCATTGTGTCTCTGGTGAAGCCTCTCACCACTCCTGCCCCTCTGGCTTGTACCCCAGTTCTGTATGAATAAATCTTTTTTTTTTTTTAAAAAGCAACTTTATGTTAAAATATATTAATTTCAAAGAATAAATGTTCTTGGTACTCAAAGGTTACCATTAACTTCCTGCTTTAAGTAATTACCAAATAGAAAGAATACCCACAATTCATAACCTAATTTCAGGGTGCATCCTTCTGGACCTTAAAGATCATTAAGAAGTTCATTCAGGATTTCAAAAAAGTCACCTCACCATTTTTAACAATGTTAAGCAACCTTACCAGTGGACAGAATTCATTTTATAATGTAAACATGAAAAGTCACTCCCAGCTCAAAACCCTTCAGTAGTTTCCTATCATACCTGGAACAAAATATAAATTCCTTGAGTTGGCTTACAAAACAATCCATAATCTGACCCCTATTTTTGATTTTACATTCTGTGTGTGTGTGCTCAAGCCTTATCAACCTTCTTGCAAATTCCTCAAAACACGCAAGTTAATTCTGACCTAAGACCTTTCTCTGCTATTTCCTGTGCTTGAAATAACCTTCTCATGACCTCACTCCATTTGGGTCCTTGCTAAAACATCACCTCAGAAAAGACCGACTACCCTATCTAAAACATCTACTTCTTCAATTCTCTTTTAAAAATTATTTCCTAAAACATTTACCAATCTGTCGTTTATCGCCAATTTCCATAAGAACAGAGTTTTGCCTTGTTCACCGCCTGCAACACACTAGTGCTCATAAACATTTAAGTGACTATATAAACAAATAAATAAAAGGTTACTTTATCATTAGTCACTATAATATTCACTTGCTATTACACAAATACAAAGGAACTATGGACTAATTTGAGAAAAAACTGTTTTACTATATACTTACTTGGTTGATCTGCATAAGTTCTCAGAGGCACTGCAGAAACTCCCTGTAGGCCATGAGATATTCGATTGAAATGGCCCCTCTGGAAGAAAAATAATGTTTCTATTATGTACAGGTGTTGAAAAAGGTGACTGTGGGCAAATGTATTATTTGCTGATTATTAATGTATCTTCTGTTGTCCCAGGAAGGTTACATGTCAGTTTCTCCTCTTTGGTAACAATTATTTTAACTTTCCAACTTCACTTTGCCACACTATCTTTTTATTATAAATATGCAACAAATTGTGTCGCATTTACCCTTAATAAAAAAAGGATTCAGTAGCGTTTCACTAAATTTTCAGACAGTATGGCTAATTGTTACTGCCAGGGATAATTTTAATGTCATAATTATAGCTCTTAAATTCTAACAGTAGAATAATCTATGACAATCTTTCACTTGTAATTCTACCATGTAGAATCTATGAAGTTGTTCCTGAACCTTAATTAGGAAAACACTAGACAAGGTAACTTAGGGAAACACACTCATCATAGCTTCATAAACTGCATCTCATCTTCACAACCTCCTCTAAATGTTTGTATTTCATACGAACAGTGAGGCCTAAAGAAAGCAGGCAGTTATCACAGCAGGGAAATGCAAGGCAGTGACACTGTGCACTGTAGTAATGTTCTCTATTCCAAGGCAATTCTTGCACCTGAGGTCAGACAGCAGAACGAAGCGCAGCAGATTAAACCGCAGTCCTGAGTTCCAGCTCTGCCCCTCACTTCTGGTTTTATTAACTCAGGACCACCTTTCTTTGGGGGAAAAAAAAAGGTGTCTGACAGCTGTATTATCTTTTAGGTCGTTAACAATACAGTGGGGAAAGGAGTCTTGACGCTAACCTGCCGCAATTAAAGGAAAAGCAAAGGACATGCGCTTAAATCCACTAACACTGACAGGACCCTAGGGCTACCAGCTGGGCCTGACTGCTCTAAATCTTTCAAGCATGGGCCTGGGCCCCAAGGTTACCTGCCTACTGCAAACGGTTAGGTCACTCAGGTGGATTAGGATACAAGCCAGACCCTAGGAGATAGGGCGGCTTCTGCTTCCTCCGCAGGGTAGAGAGGCCTATGACCCGCTTGCCCCGCGGCCCAAGTTCGGAAGTGGAGTGTGGTGACTGCTGGCAGGTGTCACGCGCCGCACCGGGCTCTCGACCGCCGGGGTCTTCACTTCCAAGCTACCACCTGGGCTGAGCGGGTTCCGCCGCACAGGCAGGGGTGGCCCCTGCAGGCCTCCCGCCTCTCCCACCCCACCCGTTAGGCCACGTCCCGGGCGTTATCAGCCGTCGGCGGGCTCCTGTGTCAGTGGCTCACACGACCCCTCTCCAGTCGGCCCTCACCTTGGCAAGCGAGCAGTACACACGACTCCAGCTCTGCATTTCGCCGCTCTACTTTTCCTTTCCGCTAAAGCTTTCACCTCCGCCTAGCGCCTCCGCCGCCTCGCCAAGGTCTCCCCGCCCTGCGCATGCACAGCGCCGCTGACGTAATAGGCCCGGAGCCGAACGATTGGCCCGCGCGGTCCCATCGAACTAGGCGTTCCCGTGCTGCACGGCGTCGGGCACTGTCGTAAAGCGCCTGGCGCTTTGCGGCAGCTGGGTTTGCGTACTGTTTTAGGGGGTGATTTGAAAGTGTTCGAACCTGTGGTGTGATTGTGTTGCTTGGGAGACGAGCTGGATAAGCTGTTTAATGCATGCTATGGAAAATAAAGCTTGAGGGTCCTCCACTGTGCCTGGAATGTCAGCACTTTCTGGGCATTGTCTCCTATCATTATTAACTATTTAAAGGATTAAGAGCATTTTGCATTTCTTGGAGGACGCCCCAAGGCCTCATTCCCTTGAGGTTTCACCAAAAGAAAACTGCAGCCCTAATGAAGCAGGTGTGCGCTGTTAAAGTGGTAACTGCTGCTGCTTTTCACCACTTAGGTGCTCGTATCCCACAAAGCACAGACCTGAATTCGTAGACAAACCCTCAGATAAATGTGTGGAGAGAAGCCAAACTTTATTTAGAGAGTGAAGAAAAAGCTCATTTAAAGGAAGAGTGAAGAGTCCCAGGCAGCGAAGCCAAGGAGGGACAAAGCCTCCAAAATCTTTTTTCTCTATTCTAGAATCTCATCTTTTTTGTGATGGGCTCTCTCCCAGTGGTGTACTGTGAGCAGCTGTGCCCAGCTTTACAGCTCTTTCTTTAGCTTTACTTTCACTGCCCCTGTCCAATTTCTCTGAAAATTTGCTGTCATTAGCCTTAAATGTGTTGCCTTCACTAGCCCTGGATTTCTCTGCCTTTGTCTCCCAAGACTCGTTAACGCTTCTTGCCTGCAATGTCCAGGTAGCTGCCTACTTAGCCCTAATTTGCTGTAGGACTCACTGACGTCAGAGCACTTGTCTTAATGGCTTTGTAATCTCCCCTCAAATGTCATTCAAGAGAAGGAGCCATAGATTTTTGCACCACCAGCATGCTGCTCTAAGCTAGCTGGCAGTATACAAAAGCACGTGTTCTATCTCCTAGCTTAGAAAACACACCACCTTAGTAGAGCAAATTTGAGTGTATGATGAGATTTTTCATAAGGGATTGAAAAACACTGTCTTCAAGATGGAGCATGGAGGTATAAGATCCAATTTTTGCTTTGTGGTAATTCCAGACACTATAGTGTAAAACTTCTTTCTACATTTTTGGGGAAGTTTCCTGCACAGGCATTATCCTGGGCTTTGGATTTAAAACACTACTTTGAATTCACTCCTAGCTATGCTGTTTTAGGGGAGATTATGTGAATAATATTTTGTGTTATAGAGGCTGCTAGTTGTCATCTAGTATCCATTCTCCCTGTTGTTTCCTCTGTACGTAGGCATTTTAACCATCTCAACTATTTTCATGGCTTTAGTATTTGCCTGAGTACACTGATAACTTCTGGATCCTCATCTCCAGTCACCTTCTCTTCTGACCTCCAATTCCATATTTTCAACTGAATAATGAACACCTCCAAGTAGGGGGTCCTAACAGTACCTCACTTTCAGTTATCTAACATCTAGAACATAAAATACATATTTCCCCTTTATATTTGAGATTAATGATACCCCGAAATAGCCTTATTAAATATGTTATTAAATATGTTAAAATTGGGCCCTCCCTGGTGGTGAAATAAATTGGAGGGTGGTCCTGCGAGGCAGCCAACTGCTTCAGCAATGATTCAGTCCGAGGCCAGCAAGGTGGCCCACGTGGTATACAGGCTTTTTCTGTCCCGTCCATTGCTCTCCTGAGCAGTGTACTTCATCAATCTGCCTGTTCTACTCCCCACTCTCTCTACTGAGTCCCATTTACCACCCCTGCGCCTCTGGCCTGTACCCCAGTTCTGTATGCATAAATTAAAAAAAAATCTTAAAAAAAACTGTTAAAGGCCCTCCCTGGTGGCGCAGCGGGTTAAAGCACAACATTGAGAAGCTTAAGCTCATGAGTCCAATCCCCGCCTGCCCCGGAGGTGCCCATGGCGTGGCAGATCTCTCCTGCCCCGCCCACTGCTCCCCTCAGCAGTGTACTTCATCATTCTGCCTGTTCTGCTCCCCACTCTTGTGTCTGGTGAATCCTCTCACCATCCCTGCACCTCTGGCCTGTACCCCAGCTCTGTATGCATAAATAAATAAATCTTTAAAAAAAAAACTGTTAAAACCCTATTTGAGTCCTCCTTTTTTTCTCCCAGTAACAAACTGGTCACTGTTTTCGTTGACAATTCGTAGAAGCAGACTCAGAGACAAGCATCTGTGAGTATGGGCCACTTCAGCTTCAATGGCCTCCGGTGACCACAGCAGGGTTAAGATGGGGCTGTGGAAAATCTCAGCAGAGGCTAGTTAGCTTGCTACTAACTGGGCAAACCTGCTCCCAATATTGGTTTGGTAGCCATCAGCCAATAAATTTCTTTTTGCAGAAGTGAAAAAGATTTCTCAGAGATTGTTTACAATCCTGAATCATGAATGTGTCACTACCATTTAATGAAAAGTTAACATGTAGCAGACATTTTAAGTGAACTTTAAAAAACAAACCTTGTGACACTGATGGCAGGTAATCACTAATCCTGTTTTTAAGGAAAAGATACAGAAGCTCAGAGTTTAAATAATGAAGGTCATGAAAACAATGAGCAACTTGCCTGAGCCACAATTCTACGCTATACCTGTTCATGCCAGGCATGGTACAACTTGTAAAGGAACAGAGTTTCTTCGTTCTTTCTACCACCTCATACTTTTACTGAGGAAGACTTTCCCTGTGGCCTGCCTTGATTTTTAAACCTATGTTTACTGGTGGTGAATTTCCCCATCTATCACAAGACAAACCAGCTCAAACAGTCTCAGTTATTGCCATACAGACTTCACCTTTGGCTATTTTATCGTTTTGTTGAGGGTATAACTATACTTCATTAACTAATCATTTGTTTCTGAGATGTCCTTTTCTTAAAAAACAAAAACAAAATTTATCAAAATTCTAGTCTAAGCATTTGTAGTTGACTGATTAAAAACTATGAGTCACAGTGTAGCCAGTAATACTTAAGTCAACAGAGAATACTTTAGAGTCAAAATTGCTGTTAGTATCTGCTCAGAAGGGAACAGTGTTCTCTCATTACGCTATTTACAATGCAGTCACTTCTGAAACAAAACAAACCAAAACAAAACAAACAACAACAACAACAAAAAACCAGGAAACCAAAAAAGAAGGAATGTGCTGGGGTAGAGATGGAGGAATTAGTTTTAAATTTTCAAAGTTATTTTACATATAAGCTTTTAGGCCAATGATGTGAAAAATCAATAAATCAAAAACTACCAAGTGTTTGTTGAGCACCTACTAGGTACAAAATACTGTGCTACACAGAAAGCATGCAAAAAAATTATCAGCACATCTCCCTCATCTCAGAATGCTATCAGTTGAATGGAGGAGCTCCAGACAGAGAAGAGGTATGAGACAACATGCTTGCTCAGGCCCGGCCTTCTGGTCACACGTGGCCCCTTTTGTCCACCCACACCCAACCTCAGTGCCAATGACTCATGCTCTTGCTGCCTTTATGTCTTCACCCAAGTCACTTTTTCTGTGAGGTTGATGCTGCCCACCCTAATTAAAATCTCAATACAACCATCTCTACTCTTTATTCTCATTCTCCTTGACACAGCTTCCTTTTTTTTTTTCCCAGTGTATTTCTAATTCTCTAATATACTATAAAATTGCTGTTTGTTTTATAAAGTTTTTTCTCCCACAATGTCCTAAACTCCATGAGGGCTAAGATTTCTGTCTTGTTGGGCAGTATCCCCAAAGTCTATGGCAATAATTTGCATCTAACACAATCTTAAAAAAAATATTGAATGCATGAAAGCCAATGTAAAAAAAAAATATTGAATGCATGAAAGCAGTTGTTGTAGGAATATGCAGGTGAAGAGATCCTAGGGTTTGGGACCTAAGAGACATCTTGATACAAAACATAATATTGTTTTTGTTTTTGTTTTAATACTTATTTATTTTATAGACCTGGGGTACAGGCCACAGGTGCAGGGGTAGTGAGCAGATTCACCAGAGACAGAGTAGGGAGCACAACAGACAGACTGATGAAGTACACTGCTGAGGGGAGCAGTGGGCGGGCCAGGAGAGGTCTGCTGCACCATGTGGGTCACCTCTCTGGCCAGGGATCGAACTTCTGCTACAGTGGCTTTGGAGAGCTTCATAGTGAGGTGCTTTAACCTGTTGCACCATCAGGGAGGGCCCAACACTGGTTTCTTAAAAGTGGATATGATTTGAAAGAGGGGGAGAAAGGCAAGGTGCATAGGATTTCCGAGGCATGGAGACATCTGGGCAGACAGAAATAAAGGGCAAAAGTGTGGTAGAGGGGAAAGACATGAGTTTTAGGATCATCAACTCTTCTGAGATTCATTTGCTTGCACCCCTGGACAAGTTGCTAGTCTTTCTAAATAGTTTCCTTACTTATAAAGTGGATAGACATATCTATCTTAAAGAGTGTAAAAATGACTTTTTGCAAACTTAAATAATGTACCTCGAACATAGTAAGTCCTTAAAAAGGGAGATGATACTATTGGGACACTTACCAATCAAGTTAGCTGAATTCATATTCAAAATATATTTTGGATCAATTGATGCAAGTGTTCTTATGAGCATTCTATTAAATAGATTAAGATGGTTGACATGCATCTGTAAGTATCTATAGGAATGAGTATGAGTTTGGAGTATCTTTCTACTTGCTAGATGGGAATGCTGTCCAATTCACCAATTCTTGAACAAAGCCAGTTAGACCTCTCTAAGATAAAAGAATGAATATATGGGGACCCGCGCTGATGGTGCAATGGGTTAAAGCACGGCACTATGTAGCTACTGCAGCCCAGGGAGCTGACTCACATGCTGTGGCAGACCTCTCCTGACCTACCTTAGCAGTGTATTTCAGTAGATTGCCTGTTCTGCTCCCCAATCTGTCTGGTGAATCCTCTCACCCCC